TTGGGGCAGCTCTTGGACGTGTTCGCGATGATGATGGTCGTGGACCGTCTGCTGGCGCTGCAGAGCCCTTCGTTGGTACCTATGGATGGGCTCGAGCATCTCAGGACACGAAAAGTTCTCGACCTCGAATGCCCGCACGCTGCCCGAGAAACTGTGTTGCGACACCGTCGGCGCCGGGGCTGCGCAGGCTCTGAGATCGTGGGAAAAGTGTGTCCTGAAGGTTTCGAGCCCCCCGCGGGTACCCATAGGGCGCCTCCAACCTCTAAGGACAAGAAAATATCGCACACTCGACTCACACCGCCGCCCTCTCGTCCCGCCGCCGAACAACCGTCGCGCTCGCGAGCCAACGCAATGATCTCAGCAGCCCAAATTCGCTGCCCCGCCCCGTCGAAGGGTTCCGCAGCCGCGCCGCGCCGCGCGACCCGCCATCGTTGCACTCAGCCCGCGCGCTGCGGCGTGGAAGAAGAAAGAAAACGCTAGCGGCGGCCCCGAGTAGTACGAGGACCTCGCGTTTCGCCTGCCACCCCATCTAGATTTATATCCCCTTGGTCGAGCGATGCTTTGCCTCAATGATGAAGGTGCAGGTGCAGCCCGAGCGCTGCATGGAGCTTCTTGCCGTTGTTGATACGTCGTGCGGCGAGCAGCTCTCAGCCCTCCTTGCCTCCTCGGAGAAGGAGAGGCTGGGCGTCGCCGCGCGCCGCCCCGCGCGGCGGCGCGGGGCCGTCGCCGCGGGCCCGCAGGGGTTTGAGGTCTGCTCCGGTGCTCGGCGCGATCCCGCCGAGCCGCTGCTGCTCCCGGACCCCGCGCGCTCCGTGATCTCGCCGCGCGGCTGGGGCAGCCCTGCGTGCCCATGGTCCTCACCATCGAGTCCGGCGAGGCGTCGCTCGCGGAGGCCTTCCCGCTGCGGCTGGAGTTGCTCGTGCCCGGGCAAACCTTCGAGGTCCGCCACGAGGTGCGCGCGCTTCGGCGCGACGGCCAGACGTGGATCATGTGGAACACGCCCGGCGGCGGCAAGGGCGGCATCGTCCCGGTGATCGCGCGCCACGCCATTCCAGCGCTCTGCGCCCACGGCAAGATCGAGGGCTACGACTCGCAGAGGCAGATCCTCGGGAAGCTCGGCGTGAAGCCGGAGGCGAGGTCCGAGCAGATGGCCGACGTCTTCTACGGCGACAAGAAGTCGATGAGGGCGAGCGCCGTGACCGAGATGCTGGCCATCTGGACCATGAACTCCTTCGCCGCCGCGTGCGCCATCGAGCCCTTGCGCACCGCCGTGCGGCAGCTGCACTTCGACGCCGAGCTGCGTCGGCCGCTCGTTCCGCCGACCGCCGCGGCGTCGCCGCAGACCGGCGCGGCGACCGCAGAGCTCGTGTCCCAGTCCGAGGCGCGCCGGCGACGGACTGATTGGACTGGTCCGCGGCCTCCTCCACAGCCTCCT